TGGAAATGTCTTGGGAGCCAATGATATCCCTGACTGAAGAGTGTCATAGTTGCTATATCTGCCTAAACTAACAAAAGTTTAGTTTAAAAAAAACAAAAAACAAAAAACTCCTAAATTTCTTACAGATTTATTGAGTTTCCAACAGGATGTTATAATTTGTTTCCTCACTCCTAGTATTGTGCTATTCACTTTTGAGATACACGTGTAGGGTATTAAGATAGAATGTAAGAAGGAGACTTTAATAAGAACAGGTTACTCTAATATTAAGGAATCAAGAATAGCAAAAAGCTATTCTTTCTTGCATGCTGTCAAGAAACTCTAAAAATATGAATGTCAAAAACTGTACAATAGGGTAGATTGGAATATTAATACTCAGTATGATATTGAGGGTATAATTCTGGGGAGATGGCTAAAGTGTTTCTGAAAAAACATGAGACTCAAAAGCATGGAAGAACTATAAGCTGTACTTATGCTGACAACCTCAAGGAAGAAATCTCAAAAATATCCAGACCAGCTCAAAGATATCTAGACCAGGTCACTGGCATAAGGAAAGATGATGCAAGGCAGGAAAGAGATAGGAAAATATATCAACTGAACTAGCAGAGCCAGGAATACGGACAGGAGGAAGAGACAATCAAGTCTCCAGGAATCACTACTAACCAATTTTGCTAGCAACCATTTTCTGCATTTTCCTACTTGCTTTTAATAAAAGTTGCTGGAATGCAAAAGCCAGGCTATATAAGACTGAAAAATCATCAGCACAGGCTTAAGGACTGATTTCTAACAAGGTACCATCATACATAATATAGAGAATAGTGCCACTGGAGGCATATTTTGTTAGAAGTGTGTGTCTCAAATGTATACTGACTTTTTTTAAAAAAAACTCTCTGCTTCTTTTGGTAGTGAAGATATCAAATGGACTATTTGGAGAGAGGTGGTTTATATATAGTGTCAGGGTAATTTAATGTTGTAAATTATAAGATAGATATGTAGAAATAGTTGTACTGGAAATTTGAAAACTATGACTTAATTAGTCTGTACTGCATTCAGTGTAAAACAGTTATTCCTGGTAGCAAATTGAGCATTACATTTTTGATCATACAGTTGAGAAAAGCCAAACAATACTGCCCCCACAAAAACTTCCTGTCTCCAAACATTACAATAATCCTATATTGAAAAAAAAAAATGAAACAAATTTAACATATTCCCCTTCCCTTATCAGATCTTTTCATTTGCTTTAAATACCATATACAAGTTATAAACCTACTTTAAGTTTAAGGTCAGCTTTACTTCTCTTGGAAACTACTTATTTCTTTAATCACTGGTTAACATATTATCCTGCCATGGACATAAGCATGATTCTCTTTCAAGTCCTGTTCCTGTTTTATGCTCCACTGACAGTCATACCTGATGGCTCCTTAGTGTTTTTTTTTTTTTTTAATGGACTCTCTTATCTGCCATATACTCCAAATCTGGATCACCTAAACAATTCTGCTGCACAGAGAACACAATATTACTTACCAAAATATTAAAAAGAAAACAAGCAATCTTGTAATTATAAATGAAAATATTATGAGGCTGAAGTAGAATCTAATCAATCTTCTGGTATTACAAATGCTCTCCTTTGATCTGAGAGCAAACTTCAACATTATAAAGGAAACAAAATAAATATGAATAGTACTACAATAATGTCCAACGTTAATCCTCTTTACGTCAATATAAAAACTATTTTGGTTTGAGTGGTGTGGGTGTAAGACTCTTTCACATATTAATTGCCATTACTGATTTGGTCATTGTTCATGGGTTTTTACATATAGAGTTATTTTGCATGGCTGAAGTGAACGTTCCCCAATTAAGAACTGTATATCAACACGTTTGATATATGATCATGCATTTCTACATTACAAATGAATCAATGGTTCTGAAAGTTTGACTGTAATACTTACACTGCTACTTTACATGCAGTGACAAGAAAGAATTAATAAATGGATGAGCACATGCATATATATATATATATAT